AAGATATTTTTCCTTACAAATATATTTTTCAAAAAGAAAGAAAATCATATGTTCAAAAGTTATGAAATTGGGCTGATCAAAATTATGTTTATTAAAATCAATTTTAACTGTCATTACATTCTTAAGAGGAATATTGGTCTGCTTTAAGAGCACACACAAATGAGTTAGAAAGGCTATCTAACATCTTTAAATGTTTGCAGCCCTGTAGGAAAAGCATCTTGAATGTTGATCTGTTCTACAGTGAAGAATTGGTTAGTATATTTTAATCTTTTCAGAAATTAAAATTTGTCAAATGAAGTTTAAATCATTTTCTTTTAGACATCTGCAGAGACTAAGAGGTATCTGATAATCCGGAAGCCCAGGAATATTCAGGTTCTGAAAAGTGAGTACATCTACACATTCTGGGAGTTTACTGCAGAGTTTGGAGGCTGGGTGGGAATACTCTTTGGATTCTGCTTTCTGGATATTTATAATCTTCTTGCTAAAAGTGTCATCTTTGTTCTGGGGAAACTTGATTTATAATTACCTGTATGGCATTCTACATTTAACATATTACATTTAGCATCTTACATTTAACCTTTTGATGTGTTTTCGCAAACTCAAAGAATCATTTAGAAATTTCTTGATGTAACAACTCTGTATGTTTTATTTAATAAAAAAATCAAGATAAGTAAGAGTAACAGCTAAAAATAAACAAACAAACATATCATCTAGAAAAATCACTAGAAAAATATGGAGGACGTAGCGTCGGTCTCCAAATAACACAAGGAGTCTTTAGGAAGGATATATTTTAATCTAAGATAACAAAGCAAGTCTATATATATATCGGTCGGAATCACATGAACGAATCTTGAGAGAATGCAGCATTTTATGGGTATAATAAAGTGTTGTTCTTAAATAATTAATGTCAATTTTTGTTTATCTTTACCATCTTCCTACTTGGGTTTAGACATTTATTTTATTTACTTTTCTAACCTTAACCGACTAAATAAATCCCGTGAAAAACACAAGAATATGATGAGGGCCCCATCAATATCCTGTGTTAAAACTCGGGCTGGGCACGTTCCGACTTTTTTGAAATCGTTCCGTTCTGTTCTAGAACAAGGGCCTTCAGCTAAATCATTCCGTTCTCGTTCCTCTTTTTTTTATCGTTCCATTCTTGTTCCGTTCTGTCCGGTTCCGTTCCGTTCTGAGTAGAAGAACGGTCTTCCCGTTCCGTTCCGTTCTTGGCGTTCTTAGTTGAAGAATGTTTGCATCCCTCTTGTTCTGTTCTTAATCAAGAATTTTTCCATCCCCCTTTCCGTTCTTAGTAACGAACAATTCCATCCAAGACAAAAGTTTTATAGAAAAGAGTTTGTTAAAAAGTTCCTCACGGCCGTAAATAATACTTAAAATTATATATTTTAAATTTAGGGTTAAAAGAATATGCTTAGATAATTTCTGGGCTTAGCAATGTATAATTTTGGGAGAGTGGGGGGAGGGGCGGGATCGTCCTAAAATCCTTAATCATGTAATTAAATAAAATTTTTTTTTAACTATTTCTAGAGGATTTAGAATACATTCCTGATTTAAAATGTGTTCCAAACATAGAACAAGTTCTTGATAGGAAGAACGGGTTACCGATTTTAACCGTTCTTTTCAAGCAATTCTCGTTCCGTTCCATTCTTTAACTAATTGTTCCAATATTTTTAAGAACGCGTTCTCAGCATTCGTTTTTTTTGGAACGATGGGATCGTTATTGATCGTTCCATTCGTTCTTGGGAAAGAACGATCTTTCCACCAGGAATGCGCCCAGTTCTAGTTAAAACCCTTGTTGACAAGGTGAATGTAAATGATTTGATCACAGGGCTACACTCAAGTTTTTACACGGGTATGACTTGAGATTATTTCATCAGATAAAAACGAGGTTTTTACATGGGAAAATGAATTTTTTCCCTTCACTTAACATACATTTTATCCCAGGTAAGGGGGGGGGGGGGGGTCAAATAGTTGATTCCTGAATCTGATATACAAATATATTATATAAAATAAACATTACAAAATGTTCAGAAACTAAACTATTCAGTTTAATTTTTTCACATGAAACATGTTTACTTTAAATAATCAATTTCACAAATTGATATTTTACCTCTACACAATGTTCAACTGTGTTCATGTAATTCATAAAAACATGTTAGTCCCTTTGTATTTACATCTAAAATATGGATATTCCAAAAAAGGGGTTGTTGAGAAATACAATATGAAAGTCATTGTGAAACTTTTCTATACTTTGCTCTTGCTTGTTTTAAAGAAGGTTTTGAAAGATGAGCAGAGACAGCAAGTGCTGTGTTCCGCAACTCTATTAAATATGAAACATTCAGTTCTTTCCATGATATACCAGCAAACAGAACTGGGATGAAATACTAGTTTACAACTAGTTTAGAAAAAGTCAACTTTAAAATCGGATTACCGTACACTTTTGATAACTAGTTCACAAACTTGGAACAAAAAGTCGTAAAAAAGTCGACTTTTTCTTCCCAGTTTTGAACTAGTCCACAAACTTGGAATATTATTACACTTAATCCATATAGTCCGTATTACGTCACCAGAAGTTCAGCCTTTGGCAGTGCAGTAAACTGGTCATGTGATTTGCATACAAGACAATGATACTGCACTGTCATTGGCTGAAGTTCTGGTTACATAATACAGAAGACTATATGTAATAATATTATCAATTATATCTATTAAAATGCAAAATCAAAATCAAAAAATTATAATAGGAGCAAACCTGAGATTCTCAGGCTCCTGTGGGAAATAATTGTTTTCAGATTGGTTTCGTATTTGTTGAATATGATCTGTTTAAAACTACAACTTTTATACAAAATTGCATACATATGAATTTTCGTATAAATTTAACACAGTTTTATATCAATTTCTCATGACAGGAACATCAGACAGATGTTTTATATGTATCATTCAATGCCTGAGATTCTCAACTTTCATCCTATAACCCTTTTCCTTTTTTCCTTTACAATCCCTTTAACAATAACCTTAAAATTTCATATTTAAGGTGTATGTGTTGTTAGTGGTACAATAAAGAATATTAACATTTAAATTAACATTAACATTAAAATTAATATTAACATTAACATTAACATTAACATAATATTTAAATTAAAATTGACTTAAAACAATTTTTGAAAGTTTATGATTGTCAGTATATAATGTTAATGTTAACATTAACATCAATAACATTAACATTGACTTTAAACAGTTCGTGAAAGTTTATGATTGTCAGTATATAATGTTAACATTAACATTAACATTAAATTAACATTAACATTGACTTTAAACAATTCATTGAAGGTTGTGATTGTCAGTATACAATGTTAACATTAACATTAAAAATTAACATTATTATTAACATTAACATTGACTTTAAACAATTCATAAATGTTTATGATTGTTAGCATATAATGTTAACATATACATTAACATTAACATTAACATTAACATTAACATTGACTTTAAACTATTATTTAAATTTTATGCTTGTCATTCTATAAAGTTAACATTAACATTAACATTAACATTAACATTGACTTTAAAAAATCATTAAAGGTTATGGTTGTCAGTAAACAATGTTAACATTAACATTAACATTAACAATTAACATTAACATTGACTATAACATTAACATTGACTATAACATTAACATTAGTAACATTTGATCGCTACTAATCTTACTTCTTTCTGTTGCGTCTACAAGGAGAAAATTGTGAAAAACGACTCATGATGAAGAACGTAGTGTCCCTACAAATTCAGAAAGTTGCAACATTCAACTCGGTTCATAAAACAATCAATTTAAGTCCAAAAAAATCATTCAGATATTTTAATAGTCATCGATAATTTTTCGACTCATTCAAATATATTTAATATTTCATAATATTTTTGATTTTATTTTTTAAAACAATATTTCGCTGGCACTGGATTTTCGAACATTCCGGAAAATCTAAAAATGTCGTCTTCATTATCAAAAATCCTCGAAACAGGAATAAATGCTTTTAAAGTTACTATTTTTAAAATAGAAGAGAATGTAATTGAATTTAATAGAATATAATAGAATAGAATAGAATAGAATATAATACTATAGAACATAAAGGAATAGGATAAAAAATAATAGATGCTTAGAATAGAATAGAATATAAATAAGTAGATGATTATAGTATATAGCTATAGAATAGAACATAATAGAATAGAATGTAATTAATAGAAATATATAGAAAAACTAAACTAAGTGTTTGTTCTTATAAAGTGCGTCTAAACCCTGTCATGATTGGGAGGATGGGGTGAGTTAACCCCCCCCCCCCCAACTAAACATCTTCAAATTTTCAACTTCATAGCTGTGAGCAAAGACTTTGCTAATTAGCAAAGTCTGTGGTTGTGAGCAAGTTTTGGAGAGGATAGAATTTGTTAGATGCATAGAGAAGAGTGAAAGAAAGTTAAAAAGCTGGTCGGTGTTTTAAAATAAATCAAAAATTTTCCTTAGATTTTGTAATAATTGAGCCACAGATCTACAAAATATTTATTTTAAAAGTCCTTAAAAAAAGAATGTTTACAAATAGCCCAATTAGCTGAATAGGTGTATTATGGTCAATGCGTAAATATAATAATTGCGCAGTATTTCAATTTCCCGGAAAAATAACTAGAACAGCGTATATTCTGAAATCTCTGCAGACTTGACCGTCAAATATTGTTATATAAACTATCTATATCTCTTACTTTCAGCATTATGTCTGTAGATACATACTCACAGGGTTGTAAATTGACTTTGTTTTTTACCTAAAATCTTTTCTTCCAAAGCATTTAAAAATTATTTTTCTTTTAAGATTGTAATATTTTTATTTTTTAAAAGAGAAAATGAAGAGGTAAATCTAACTAAAAAATTGCTACATTTAATATTGTTTCTGTTTCGGGGTTTAGATGTATTTTCTGTCATGATCATAATTGGGCAAATTGTAAAAAAATCAAATATTTAGAAAAAAAATTTTCTTTCCCTACAACATTTACAACTCGATCAGATAGAGGGAAGGCTATAATATTCAACACTACAAGATGAAACTCCTGATTACTACTCTCCTACTTCTGGTAAGGATTTTAACTTCATTGATATTTTAATTTAGGAAAATATACTCGACCCCAACCCTAAAGATATTTTCTAGCTAGTCTGTGTCACAGCGCTTGGCCCAGAAGTGTTCTTAATGCCTTTACACTATCAGAAAACAAATGCTGTACATTTTTTATTTTTTTTTGGGGGGGGGGGGGTCCACAAAATGCTTAGAAGTTAAACGAAAATATTCTTGTTTTTCTGTCTGAAAGTTTATTATTTTGAATTGTGGTTGCTCCTTAAAAGCATGACCTGTGTTTTCCAATAGCAAAGAAACGAAAGAGAGTTGACAAAAATAATCCTCTAAAAGAATAACGACGATTTCTCCTTCACTGTTTTTCAGAAAAAAGGTCAATTTCAGAATCTTGCATGAAACTCTTTAATTGGGGATTTAAGTTTGAGGACTAAACTCCCAAAATATTGTTCTGTTGCTTTTCATTTTTTTAGACTTTCTGATTCACTTTAGGATAAAAGCTGAACTTACATGCCTACTGCTTGGAGACTCAGGCCTACTATTTTACCTGTTCCGAAACAAGGGGGGGGGGGGAGGGAAGGCGACCCGCACCCATTTTACCTCCCACCCGCAGATGACGTCACAAAACGGGATTTGCGGCATGCGGCATTTATAAACACGTCATGGCATCTATCATATACAGGGTGTCCCAAAAAAAACATGGGAATTCAGTGACGAATTGGATATCCTCTTTGTTATGAATTAGCATTGTAATACCTATAATTTCAAAAGCCATAATATTATTATATCTGCTAGATTTTATTTTATGAAAAGGGCAAAAGACTGTAAAGATGTATCTGTAATGTCTCCGCAAGATGAACAGTGAAGACGGACAAATTTACTCTGTTTGTATACTGTAATTTTCTTGTTTTACTAAGTACAACGGTATTCAGTCAAAACATAAAAAACCAAAATATGAAAATAGCAGACAAAAGAATTATCTAAAAAGACGATATCGAATTCTTCACTAAATTCCCATATTTATTGGGACACCCTGTAGTAAACTTATTCATCATATTTTTTTCTGTGATAGTAGAGGATGTCGTGGCTGAATGAAGCAATAGTTATAAAAACCCGTAATAAAAAGTGTTTTTTTTTTATAATTTACCCTTTATCTAATATGTTAAAGTTTTATAGTGGCTGTCAATAATCTTCTAAAAAATGATGAAACCATTAGAAAAATAATTTTTAAAAATGCCAGAGTTTGGTGTACATATTCAATTAAAGCAAATGTCATACATTAACCCTCACCCATTTTACCTTGGGCCCGCAAATGATGTCATATGTTTATAGCATATTCTTTAATTGAATTGAATGCCAAAAGGCAACATTTTATTAAAATATCATTTTTTGTTAGTGGTCCAAAACTTATTTTCAGAAGATTATCGTCAGCCGATGTCTAAATTAATGCTGCATTGTCTATAAATAGCATTCAAAAGTACAGACTTTTCGCCGGATGGGAAAATGGTTGTGGGTTGGACGGCATAGGGGTAAGCGCATGTGGATAATCCAATTTTGTGACGTCATCTGCGGGTCGGAGTTAATACGGGTGCGGGTCGCCTTCCCCCCCCCCCCACGACAGTATGGACTATGGTAAAAAAAACACCATCTTATTATCACTTAATAATACTCTGCTTTTCAGACGTTTGCATCAACAATGAACTGCCATGGAGGTCATTGTGGAGGACATTCTTCTGGCTGGGGATGTTATGGAGGTCAAACAGGAGGCCATTATTCCGGTTGGGGGTGTTCTGGAGGTCAACCAGGAGGCCATTCTTCTGGCTGGGGATGCCACGGAGGTCAGCCAGGAGGTCATTCTTCTGGTTGGGGGTGTTCTGGAGGTCAATCAAGGGGGTCAACATCCGGCTGGGGATGTCAAGGTGGTCAACAAGGTGGTCAATGCCAAGGCTACTAATCAAAATACATCATCACAAAATAAATGTTTAATAATGTAAAAGAAGTAAAATAATTAAAAAATTAATAAAAAATTTCTATATTATCAAATTCTTATTATTTAAGTAGTGTACTGCTTGAAAGAGCAGTGTACAAAAATATGCTCATAAAATCAGATTTAAAGAAGACTTATAAGGATTTTATCAACTTATATAATCCGTAACTTTGTGCAATTTTTATCTCATGATTTTGAATTGTTTCTGGGCATTTTTAAAAATTCAAACTGCATACCATAACTAAGTTTAGTTTTACTTTTAATATCTTATTCTCTGAGGACAACCTTTACACTGAAATCTTCAGTTCATGTGAAGTACCGCCATGACTTTTAGGCAGCTATAGTAGTGTGCAGTACCTCTCTGGAAGCTAGAGTAGTGTACAGTACCGCTCTAGAAGCTAGAGTAGTGTACAGTACCGCTCTAGCAGCTAGAGTATTGTACAGTACTGCTCTGACAGCTAGAGTAGTGTACAGTATGTACCAACCACCTATAAAGGGCAAAACGTGGCAGTACATCAAATAAATCATACCCTATATACTAGAGAGAAATAAATGTATATAGCTGGAATCTACAGTGGGACCTAAGTGGGACCCATAAAATGATGGAATGAGAAGAAGACAGTTACACTAAAGTTAGGATTTAGAATAGTTCAACATAACATCAGTGTTTGCACAAAATTTCGTCTTCCTATTAAACAGTATTTTTTAAATTCTAAATTCCAAAAAGGTTTAGTGACAATGATTTTATATTTTGTAGGTTTCCCAGACAAGTGATAATTTATTAACATTGTTTTAATTTTATTTCTATCTTATATTGATATGTGTTTGGCAAGTTTTTTTATCTGATAAAAAATCGTGTACACACAATACACAAAATTAGGGTATTACATACTTGCTACTAAAGAATGTATAAACGTGTTGTATTTGCCCACTTATTTGTTTCTTGTCTATTTACAGGATTAACAGGATTTTGTAATAAATATTCGGTATTTTATAATTTTGTTAAAGTAGAACCCAAAGGCCTTTCAAAAGTGTATGAAATGTTATAGAGTAGTATCACGATAAGGCCTAACTTTTTTGGCCACAGATTTGAAAGTTGAACAGATATTTAAACTGAGTTACCGCTACCGAGAAAGGATATCTTCAAAATCAGTACCAACAAGTTTTCATCCAATAATAACCAGCAAACAGTGACACAAATGTCGTCCTCGAAATCAGAGGAAAAAACCCCAAGAGTTTTTACTTATCATTCTGGAGGAATAATATTTTTTAATGGGGGAATGATTTATCCCTCCTGTTCAGTGATAAGTGAGCTGGATTTATCCTCTCAGCTATGGCTGGGCGTCGTTCCTGGGGAACGATCGTTCTTTCACAAGAACAAACGAAACAATCAAGAGCGATGACATGGTTCCGAAAAAAAAGAACGAACGCGTAGAACGCATTCTTAAAAATGTTGGAACGATTTGTCAAGGAACGGAACGGAAATTTTTAAAAAGAACATTTAAAATCAGGAACGAGTTCATATTACCAAGAATGCATTTTAAGTCGAGAACGCATTTTAAATCAGGAATGCGATCTAAATCATCTAGAAATAATTGAAAGATTTTTTTTGTTTTGAATCTATCAAGCCTTGCAGTGCTGTCATCACACCACATTTTTAGAGAACGAAAAACGCTAGACTGGGACCAAGAAACTCCATTTCTGAAAACCATCTCTGAATAACTAAACTATACACATGCTAAAAGTCTTGTATTGCACATGTTTTTTTTTGGCAAACCCTGTCAATCATAAAATGCGATATCCAGAGGAAAGAGCATTAGAATATTAATGATGAATATAAAAGATTAAAAATTTGATCATTGCAATGCTTTTGGACGTAATCAAGGCTGGGAAGATGAGCAGAACCTGAATTTCTGAGTCTAATCTTTGTTTTTTTTTTTATCATTAAATCTGCGAACTTTTTGTTTGTTTTGTTTTATATTGTACAAAGAGAAGATGTTCACAATTCAAAATTGAAATGGAAGATTGGGCGCGAAGCGCCCTAAAAACTAAGTCCATATATGAACTTTGCTTGTCATGGTGTCTTTCGTTTGTATGATGTATCTAATGAACATCAAAACGACTGAGCTGATTGGGCCCTCATTTTGCTTAATAACTTACATGACCCTAGGGAAGGTTTATGGATGCTCAGAATTTCAAAAAGTTGTCTGCACAATTTTTTGATTTTTATAAGATTCTTAAAATGCGCAAATTATATTTGAAAATCCTCTAACTTTATTTGTTTTTGATTTAAATTGTACAAAGATGAGATGCTTACAGGTATAGAGCCACAAATAAGAGTTTTAGATAAGATGATGGTCGTGAAAAGACCTGCCTAGAACATACATATTATGTCAAATTAATCTGTTATGAAAACTGATAAAAATTAAATTGCCATAAGATTTAAAAATATTTTTTTTTTTTTTAGAACCAACGCAGTTGCTGTTTTTATGTGTTTTTTATGTTTTATTTCAGAAAATAGTTTTGCATTGTGTTCGCAATATCTTTAAATATTTTTCAAACCTTTTAACAGAAACTCTGCAGAAACATTCAAACACGTTTTTTATATTTGAATTTAATATTTCCTGCTGCTAACCAAACAAAGTGAATATTATACAAAATATAAGTAAACATTTCTCAATAGAAGATGTATAATGAACATGAAAAACTTAAGGTATTTAACATACTATTTTGATTGAGATTAAAAGTTAAATGTGCTTTTGTTTCTACTAAAAAATAAATCTTTGCAAATTGCAACCTAGGACCGAATTTAATGAATTTGAGCTACGTTGCCGAACAACATATTTGTGATTTAAAGTTTGCCGGCGTGGCAGTAGGCAGTTCAAATTCATTAAATTTGGTCCATGATATTATATCCTTGTTATTTCTCGCCATGAAATATGTTAAATAAAATGGTAAAATTTACATAAAAGATTATTCTAATTCAACTTAAAAATGTGCTTTTGTTCCTTCTGAAAATAAAGGATTTTATAAAAAATCTTTGCAACCTGATATTAATAAACTTTTGTTATTTCTTGCCATGAAATAGTCTAAGCTTGAAATAAATTCAAGGATTACATCGTCAAATTTGCAATGATATAAAAATCAGAAAATTAGAGTCTGAGGCGATTTAATAGCATCCTTCTTTCTTCTTCACTTGCACTTTTAGTTGAACAAGCTAGATTCCCAGTAACCTTGTCACAGCTTAAAACAAATTTTATCAAACACTTTTTTATTTTTTTATTTTTTAAATTTGTCTGTAGTTTTTATTTTTTAAATTTGTCTGTAGTTTTTATTTTTTAAATTTGTAGTTATTTTTTATTTTTTTTTAATTAACTGTTGATTTTTAATTTTTTACCTTTAACTTTCCTTGCAAAATGGTTTACAATTGTAGATTTAATACTGGAGACAGGAGAAGGTTTCCTGTTTCTTATTAGTGCTGTTCTTGGTGCTGAAGAATGAGGCTGTATTCGAACAGATCTTGAAGTCTGAGGCTGTATATAAACAGATTCTGAAGTCTGAGTCTGTATTTGATCATATCCTAAAGTCTGAGGCTGTATTTCAACGGATGTTGAGGTCTGAGGCTGTATTTGAACATATCCTAAAGTCTGAGGCTGTATTTCAACAGATGTTGAGGTCTGAGGCTGTAATTGAACAGATCTTAAAGGCTTAGGATGTAATTGAACAAACCCTGAAGTTTGAGGCTGTGTTTGAACAGATCTTGAAGTTTGAGGCTGTATTTGAACTGATTCTGAAATCTGAGGCTGTATTTGAACAGATATTGACGCCTGAGGCTGTATTTGAACAGATCTTGAAGTCTGAGACTGTATTTGAACAGATCTTGAAGTCTGAGGCTGTATTTGAACTGATTCTGAAATCTGAGGCTGTATTTGAACAGATCTTGACGCCTGAGGCTGTATTTGAACAGATCTTGAAGACTGAGGCTGTATTTGAACAGATCTTGAAGGCTGAGGCTGTATTTGAACAGATCTTGAAGGCTGAGGCTGTATTTGAACAGTTCTTGAAGGCTGAGGCTGTATTTGAACAGATCTTAAAGTCTGCGGCGCAAATCTTTGAGGCTGTGGCTGAAACTGAACAGGTCTTGGAACTGGAGGCTGAAACCGTCTTTGAGGTTGTATTTGTTGAGGTCGCTGTCTCTAATACATTGAAATAATAGCTTAGAATTGAAGAAAAGTCTAAAAAATTTTCTTAATTGTCCGGTCACTTATTTTTGTAGTTTAAAATATTTTTGTTTTAATTTATGAAAGAGTACTGTCTCTTAAGTTATTGGGATATAATTAAATTCGCAATTATTGCGTTTGTATAGAAAATAAAATGTTGTTCTTTCATAGATAATTATTAAAGATTAAAAAGTTTAATCTTTTTATTGTCCGTGTCCATTGAGATGTGTACTGTTGCGTGCCAAGAATAAAAAGTTTTAGTGGACGAACTTTTCTTTAAGTTACAGGGTGTCCCACGAAACATGACCATAGCAAGACGACTTGTAAGTCGTCTTTAATATTTGAATTTATTTGTGATATTTAGTCTTCTATCTACTTTAACATGTATGATTCTCGAAACAATTATTACATAATTTTCCTAGCCCAGGAATTTCCAAAAAGTGGTCTGCGTTTTTTGTGCTTTCAATATTACTGGAGATATAAAGAGTTTGGTTCAGATTTCAATTTTGTTAAATAAAAGCAAAATTGTCGAAATCTGAACCAAATTGTTCATATCTCGGGCAATATTAAAAGCACAAGAAATGCAGACCATATTTTGGAAATTGCAGGACTAGCGAAATTTTGTCATTATTATCTCTAGAAATTTACTTCTAAAATTAGGTTGACAAATAAATGCAGCAAATTATATCAAAATCAAGACGATATTCAAGTCATCTTGCATACTGTCATGTTTCGTGGGACACCCTGTACTATAAAAACCAAGAAAAATGCGTATACATGTTTAATTTGTTGGCATTTAAAAAAAATACTTTCAACTTATTTGTCTTTTAAATGTTGGAAAATATAGAGGGACATGGTGTCCCACGTACTGGCAGTTGCAGGACGACTTGAAAGTCGTCTTTGTTCTCTGAATTTAAACATTCTGTCGTCAATCTACTTTACATGTATAATTCTTTAAACATAAACCACAACATTCTTCTTGTCCTGGCATTTCTAAAATGTCGTCTGCCTTTTCTGTGCTGTCAATATTACCGAAGATATTAAGAATTTCGTTCAGATTTTAATTTTATTAAATAAAACCAAAAATGTCGAAATCTGAACGAAAATCATAGAAAGCACAAAATATGCAGATTTTGTGCTTATAAACTCTAGAATTAAACTACTAACATTAGATTAACAAATAAATGCCGCAAACAATTTTAAATATCAAAGACGACCTTTAAATTCTTAAAAACGAATTATAAAAGGAAATGGAGCACCTGGCTAAATCTTCTCTGGTTTGCATTTCTGGCCCCACTAAATCTAAACAAATATTTCTTTGAAACCGGATATTAAAATGTTAATTCCAACAACGATTCACAGAGCTATCATGCAAATTTAGCCTAGAAAACAAAAATGTTAGGCGCCTAGTAAACAAAATATCAGTCTAAGAAACAAAATTTTTAGTTTAGGAAACAAACATTTCAGCCTAGAAAACAAAAATGTTAGCCTAGAAAACAAAAATGTTAGCCTGGGAAAACAGAAATGTTAGTGTTGAAAACTAAAAAGGTTAGCCAAGGAGAAAAACATTTTAGTCTAGAAAACACAAATGTTAGCCTAGAAAACAAAAATGTTAGCCTAGGAGACAAAAATTTTAGTGTTGAAAACAAAAATGTTAACCTAGAAAACAAAAATGTTAGCCTAAAAAATAAAATTGTTAGTCTAGGAAATATAAATATTTAAACTTTTATAACTTAACTTAACGTTTTTGACTAAATTAAAAAGCAAAAATACTTAATTCTAAAGAAATCCTAAAAATTTTAACCGCAAATGAAATTTTTCCAGATAAATGCATGTGTAAATTTCCAGAAGTATAAAATATAGCAGTTGATGTTTTGATTTAAAAAAAGATAAAATTAACGTTTATCTTGGCTAAATGTAAAACTCAAAATTCTGCAGAAAGCAATTTTAAATTAGTGTGAATTAAAAGACTGACCAAATCTAATTGTAAATAAACCAAATGTAAATGAACTAAATGTAAATAAACTAAAAGTAAATGAACCAATTGGAAATAAACGAAATGTAAATGAACCAGATGTAAATTTAAAGGAACTAAATCATATGTTAATGAACTAAAAGTAAATAAACCAAGTGTAAATAAACGAAATGTAAATGAACCAGATGTAAATTTAAAGGAACTAAATCATATGTTAATGAACTAAAAGTAAATAAACCAAGTGTAAACAAACCCCCCTAAAAACTAGCATTAAGAAGAAATGTTAAAGAGATTTATTGAAATAATTTGAGAAACTATCCTAACACGGACAAATTGTCACCTGATATAGGAAAATGAAATATATGAAAGTTTAATATATTAGGCTTGAGGCAAGGTCGGAAAGGCCTGGGTAGCATAATATGGGGGCCCACAGGATTACATCCCCCCTTCCCTCAGTACGTATAAAGTGGACCAACTGTAGAAGTTTTTATAAAAATTTACAAAAGGATAAACAAACATATAGTAATTATGAAGAAAAGTTTGAAGCAACTACTACGCAAATAATTTAACTGGATACAGCAGTTAGCTAGAACTGTTAATTCTAAATGTGCAAAATTGTTCATGATCTTTTAGTTTTCAGATAAATTATAATATTACTCTGGAGTTCTTTTTAGTCTACATAAATCATAGACTAAATAATAACAGAGCTGGACACTCTTGTATTGTATAGATTTGATGATCAATGCATGGGGGTTGAAGGGAGCTTTGATCAGGAGGAATAACTTAAATTAAGATGTGGAAAGGGTATAGTTTAGATTCTCAATGTAAAAGTGCCCAAAGGGGATATCGAGCTCAAGTGAACAAGACTAAGAGTTTTTTTCGCTAAACTAACCTGAAGGGTCCAACTATATGGACACATACCGAAGGCTGTTTAGAAATATCTTGAATTTTTAACGTTAATATGGTTAATTAACCCTATTCCTGCTGGGGTTTCAATTTGACCCACCCTTGTAGTTTTTATTACATAACTCAAAAAGTATTGGTCTAAGGCTGTTGAAATTTTCTGGCTTTTCCTACATACCCAAAGCCCTCCCTTTAGGCCTAAAACCGGGCTTTAATACTAACTGCCTGAGTCCTCAGGTCCCTGAACAAAGACCATAAAAAAGGGGTAGCAGAGCCCTTTTTTTAATTTTCGGTTTAAAAGTACCTTTTTTAACCCTTTCTCTGCTGGGGTACTTGAAAACCAGGATATGCTGGAAAACTAAAAATGTGCAAATTTCCTTTAACAGGTTGTTTGCAAAAAAAGAGATAGGGTTAAAACTGGCGGAAACTGCACAATTATGAAACGACAATTTAGTTATAATAGCTTATCTCTTATCTATCAAATAGGAACCTGAGGGAAGGGATAGGACGGAAAGAGGAGGGGAAGGGGGGATGGGACCTAGAGGGGAATGATGGAAAGGGGAGGAAAGTGATGGGAACTAGAGGGGAGTAATTGGAAGTGGAGGAAAGTGATGGGAACTAAAGGAGAGGGATGGGACTGAAATGGGAGTGATGGGAACTAGAGGGAAGGGATGGGAAAAAAAGGAAGTAATAAGAACGTGAATGATAAAGCTTGGAATGGGAACGACGCGAAGGGGGGAAATAGGTTAATATGAAAATGGGACAGGGGGGAAGAATTAAGGGGAATGATGGGAAAGGGAGAGAAGGAATTAGAGAGGGTTTTTTATTCGGCGATAATACATATTTTTATCAAAGATTTTTTAAGTGCTTATGTTTGAATTTTTAAAAAACTTTAATAGATATATTTAACTAACCTTGCTAGTGCTCTTCCTCTTGGATTAAATCTGGGAGCAGGCGGGTCAGCACGACCTCCACCGAGAAGAGCTCTGAAGTATACATGTACATCGTTGACAAATCGAAAAATTAAAGAGTTTTAGGTCGTCTTCGAAATCTCATCCTTTATGGATATTCCTGTGCTTATGTGTAAACATTAATTTACAGAAATGCTGAAACATCGTATATTTAAAAATAAAACTTATTCTTTCATTTTTTTCATGGCTCTTTATGTATGTTAATTTAAGGCCAATAAATTAGCTAACAAAAATAACGTTTCCCTGTTTCACGGTTTTTATGTCAATTTCATTAGCACTTATATCTTGAATGGGCTATTTTTTTCTAATAGAGATTGGGAGGGGGCGAGATACATGTCCCTAGTCCAACTGTTTAAGCCCAGCTCATTAAAAATAGACCCCTTACTTTACTTTTTTTTTACAACTATGGAGTAGAAAAAACCGGGGGGGGGGGGCTAAATTTATGTATAGCGGGGGGGGGGGGGCCAAACGCCCCCCCTAAAAAAAGGCCTTAAAGAATAGGTATAGGGTTGAAATGCATGTGCATAGCACAATTTTTCAATGCCAGCGTATTGAACAAAAAATTAGACCGAAAACTTTAATAGTTTGGGTGCTATAGAGGGTTGAAAAAAAGGCCAAAAAAAGGAAAATGAAAAAATACCTTTTTTTTATTTCAAACAAATACCAAACTGTGATACATTTTTCTCCATCGTTTTTTCAAGGGCTTTCAAATATATAGTTTTTAGATCTGTAGCTTTAGTCACAAAAAGTTATGGGCTATTTTAGATTTATTTTTTTCCTAAGACCGGCCTTTTTTCGTCCTGTGCATTCAAAAATTTTTTTTTTTTTACAAAAAATCTATTAAATTATTTTTTATAAAAAGTCACAAAATTTCACGATTGTACAGTGGTAGGCGATTATATCAATACACCAAAGACGACTTTTTTTAGTTTTAATTGTTAACAAGCTTTTTTCGAATTAAAAGTTTAAAGAATTAAAAGTAATAAAAGATAGTCTTTTTAATCTTTGTTTCAATGTTTTTGTGTATCCATGCTGATTGAAAGAATTATATGAATCAAAATTGAAATCGAAAGTCGTCTTCATTATATTGATATAATCGCCCACCACCGTAGTAAATGAGAGTGCTAGGACAGAAAAACTACAGGGGGCACCAAACGCCCCCCCCCCCGCCATAATCTACATGAGTCGCCCTGCGCGACAACAGTAGGCGTCCATTTTTTGAATAGTGTTTTTGAGCTTTTTCTATCTTTTTTCTATCGTTAAATACTTACGCAATTAAGCCAAATAAACCAGGTCCACTACTCCCACCTAAATTGTAAATCAGAAATTTTTAATACTACCATTAGTCTCAATTTCATGAACGGCATTAATGGAAAATTTTTAACAGCTCTAGCCATTAATGGTTCCGTTATTACAAAATTAATGGCGTTAACGGCATCAAGCGCCAAAAACATGTTGTTAACGGTAAAAAAACAGTATTAACGGTTAATAAACACAGAAGACGTCGTTTAAAAACATAAAAACGCGTAAAATTTTGCAATTTTTATCAGAAAATGACGAAATTTTCCTCTTTTTTTTAGCTTTTTTGCTAACGTTTTTAATCGATAATTGTTTTTCAAAAACGGCTTATCTGTTTCGTTACGATTTAAAAATTAACGGTTTTTGCCGTTTGCTAACGGACTTTTCCGTTAATTTTCGAAAACTTCCGTTTTGTTAACGGAACTTCCCCAGTACTAGGGTTACCCAACAAATGATGATACTTCAGAGACGATTGTACAAGATTTGTTTAGCCTCTTTTCTTGCATTCAGGGTTCCTTATAGGCCAACACGGGTTTATATCTGTGCTTTATAATTTACTAAACCATCAAAATAATCAATTGAACGGAGAAACCAAGAACCAAGCTTCAAATCGTCATATTTTAGAGTTTTGGGTCGTCTTTACAGTCTCATCCTTTGTGGGTAAACCTGTACATTAATCAGCAAAACTGTGTGATGAAATCAAACAATCATCCCCAGGATGTATCCTGGAATGTATCTAAAATGCAACCAATCAGAGTTAATTGATTGTAAAAGCTGAAGAAACCAAGAAATTATAAATGAGAGAAAGCTTTATGGTCGAAATGAAGATAGAGGCTTGGAAAGTGTACACTGTGGATACAATGATTCGGCAATCGGGAACTTTAGGATTTGTTCAGATTTCAATTTATTAAATTAAACCAAAATTGTTAAAATCTTAACGAAATTCTTCATATATCCAGTAATTTTACAAAAAAAAGGTAGACCACATTTTGAGTTTTGGAAGTGCTATAGGAATGGGTATGAAGTGATGATTGTTGACTTCATGTCGTCTTTGAACTATCATGTTTTGTGGGACACGTTGTACATTATATTTTATTCCTTTTTGTACCTGATGAACGAGAATTAGATGATGAACCGGAATCAGATGATGAACTAGAACTAGATGATGAACCAGAATCAGATGATGAACCAGAACCAAATGAAATACTATCAAATTTTTATGATTTATTTCTATTCTTACAATCAGTAAACATTAGAGATATTTATACGAAGGGTTCGGATAATCATGAAAAAGTTCTCAATATTTAAAAAACTAAATCCTGTATGTCTGTAGCGTATAAATACACCAGAGAGGGTTAAAACTAGCGAATACAAAAAAAATAAAAAGTTAAAGGAACTGCAAGCGATTTAAATATGGCATTGCCCGATTCACACCGGACCACTTAAAAGCTTGGTATGATAAAGTATGAATTAGATATCAATGTTATTAAATTTTAGAGACTGATTCTTTTTAATTGGAGTTTCTTTAAAGGTGAAATGCTCATATCGAATACAGGCATTTATATTATTCACTTTGAAACCTAGAACAACGACATTTATATGGAGTATTCAGACTTATATTCACTTTGAAACCTAGAACAACGACATTTATATTGGAGTAGACTTATATTCACTTTGAAACCTAGAACAACAACATTTATATTGGAGTATTCAGACTTATATTCACTTTGAAACCTAGAACAACGACATTTATATTGGAGTATTCAGACTTATATTCACTTTGAAACCTAGAACAACAACATTTTCTTCCACACTTTAGATCAGGTAAAAGTTTTACGGGTACCGTTGTGAATCGTGCATTCATAAACAATAAAACATAGAGTACCCTATCTTTAGGCATTTCTAAGATGTAGTCTGGTTTGTGCTATGTGCATTCAAAGTTACTAAAATTTCCCTTAAAAAAAAACCAAATGTGTTTTGCCGTCATTCTTATTTTCATAAGAAAGATCTGCATATTGTTTTTTAAATTGTCAAGTTTAATGGTCCACCCTCTGTAAAGTTTAAATAATTCTGAGGGGAACACCCTGAATATAACTAAATCATATTTAGTGAAACACCCTGTAAACGGTTAAATCATGTTGAATGAAACACCCTGTATAAAATTAAATCATGTTTAATGAAACACTCTGTATATAATTAAATCATGTTTAATGTACAAAGTTTAATCATGTTTATAAAACACCCTGCAAACAATTAAATCATGTTTAAATTATGTTTAATGAAACACCCTGTAAAAAAAATCATTTTTAGTGGAACACCCTGTATAAAATTAAATTATAAATTTTGATGAAACACCCTGTAAAAATTTTCAGTGGAACACCCTGTATGAAATTAAATCGTGTTTAATGAAACACCCTGTAAAAAAAATCATTTTTAGTGGAACACCCTGTATAAAATTAAATTATAAATTATAAATTTTTCTCCCTGAATCCTCCACCTGAACTACCACTATCAGAACTAGTGCTCGCAGACTTGAAATATAAAAAACTGTAAAAGGGACTGTAAGCGTAATTTCATGTGACACTCCATGCAAAGATGTCAATGCCCGAGTTATAACCGTACAAGTCTGATAAAGAATAAATTAGATATCAATGTATTTTTTCTTTAAATTGTTAATTTTCATCTACGTTTTCTCTACAAAGTGAAGTGGGCATTTCTTGCTTTTATACAGAAATGGATCAGCTCACAGAAACAGAAACTGTTTGAGTCATGAACACGACGATATCTTCCACATTTTGGATCCGATTAAGGTATCAATTAGGTACCGTTGTAAATCGGGCATTGTCATTTTTGCATAGAGTGACATATAAAATCACACTTTCAGTTTCTTTAAAGTATGATTTAAGATTTCAAACTTCACATCTATATATAAATTTGGCTTGTCTGTTTGTCTGTTTGTCTGTTTGTNGAATCTGATCCTACTGTTCCACTGTTCCTGAATCTGATCCTACTGTTCCACTGTTCCTGAATCTGATCCTACTGTTCCACTGTTCCTGAATCTGATCCTACTGTTCCACTGTTCCTGAATCTGATCCTACTGTTCCACTGTTCCTGAATCTGATCCTACTGTTCCACTGTTCCTGAATCTGATCCTACTGTTCCACTGTTCCTGAATCTGATCCTACTGTTCCACTGTTCCTGAATCTGATCCTACTGTTCCACTGTTCCTGAATCTGATCCTACTGTTCCACTGTTCCTGAAGCTGCATGATATTACCGACGATGAAGCTGATGATGAGGATTCACCTCCTGAGAATTTACCCTGCCCCAGAACTGTTCCAATAAACAAACTAAAGAGAACAGACAATGTATAAAAGGACTATATACGTCAATGCCATATCAAATCATCAATAAATGTTATTAACAATTCTGTAAACACATTGCGACTCGATCTTTGGGGAAAACCAACAAACGCATTTTCTACAATTATAAAATTTTATGACGAGTTTAAAAATTGATAATTATGATTTTATGATTAGTTTATTATTTCAATTTCAATTTCAATATTTCATATATTATTGAAACGTTATCATATAGTTTACCTGGACAATATAATAACAAATGATGTCATTTTTAACATTTTCAGTTGTTTCTGAAAATTTGAAACATTTTTTTTTTAAATCCTTACTCAATTCCACGTTTTTTTGGATTTATAAATAGCTTGCTGGAGACTGTTCTACGTTTTCATAGTTGCAGTATTTTAAACATTTTGCCTTGCTATGCATTTTAGATATAAAACCAATAAAACGCGAGAAATAAAATTCAAAATATTTTTGTAATATTTCAAAAAAAAAATGAAATTTCTTGAACATTTTTTAACATTTTTTTAAAATTCATAAAAAATCCGAAAAAAAAACATAATTTCCTTACTGAGAGCATATTCATATTGCTCGATCTTGAACAGATCATGTTGGTCGTGTTTACAATACATTTAGAAACAGATCATGTAGGTCGTATTTACAATACATTTAGAAACAGATCATGTTGGTCATGTTTACAATACATTTAGAAACAGATCATGTAGGTCGTATTTACAATACATTTAGAAACAGATCATGTAGGTTGTGTTTACAATACATTTAGAAACAGATCATGCAGGTTATGTTTACAATACATTTAGAAACAGATCATGTAGGTCGTGTTTACAATATATTTAGAAAACAGATCATGTAGGTTGTGTTTACAATAGATTTAGAAACAGATCATGTAGGTCGTATTTACATTACATTTAGAAACAGATCATGTTTGTCGTATTTACAATACATTTAGAAACAGATCATGTAGGTCGTGTTTACAATACATTTAGAAACAGATCATGTTGGTCGTATTTACAATACATTTAGAAACAGATCATGTTGGTCGTGTTTACAATACATTTAGAAAACAGATCATGTAGGTTGTGTTTACAATACATTTAGAAAACAGATCATGTAGGTCGTATTTACAATACATTTAGAAACAGATCATGCAGGTTATGTTTACAATACATTTAGAAACAGATCATGTTGGTCGTATTTACAATACATTTAGAAACAGATCATGTAGGTCGTGTTTACAATAGATTTAGAAAACAGATCATGTAGGTTGTGTTTACAATACATTTAGAAGCAGATCATGTTGGTCGTATTTACAAAACATTTAGAAACAGGTGTTTACAATAGATTTAGAAACAGATCATGTAGGTCGTGTTTACAATAGATTTAGAAACAGATTATGTAGGTCGTATTTACAATACATTTAGAAACAGATCATGTAGGTTGTGTTTACAATACATTTAGAAAACGGAAGAAGAGTTTTTCCAAAGAAAATTTTAAAGAAGTTTTCATTGTTCACAATAAATATTACCTTAAGAAAACAAAAAAAAGTAAAATTTAAATTTAAAATATTTTTGGATTTTTTGTGATATCTCTTTCTTTTTTTTATAAGAAAATTCAATGAGGACATATTCGGGCAAAGGTTGAAATGAGATGTGGTGGGTAAAAATTGAGCTTGCCCTCAAATTCAAAGGGGTGTATTCCCCTTAACCCTATTAAGACTGGAGGACAATGTTCGCGCTTCGCGATAAAACTTGCCCCCCCCCCCTGGCTAAAATCCTGTGTACGTGATTGAATGAGGACGCACAATGAGAACACATTAAAAGGTTGTGCACGTTGAGGACGCATGTTGATGATGCAAGTAAAGTAATTGCTACATGGATAATGCACTTTTGTCAAATAATAAAGTTGACTAGTAAGGTTACAATGAACTGCGGGAAAGCAGTCTACCCTTTCAGGTTTTATACATATACATATATATATATATTGGGTGCGAGCGGTATTGCCGACTCTTATTTTCAAATTACTGTTGCAGGGGCCCTCCAGTAGGTATGAAATGCCTTTGGGCTCTATGCGAAGTAGAGAAATACCGCGGGAAAGCACGGTATAGGCCAGCTCAAAGTTTTATAGTGCGCGCATCAGAACGCATAGGTACGACCAGGCGCTACAGGAGGGAGGGAGGGAACCCTCGACGTCATGAGCCTCCGCTATGCAGACACGAGCCTCCCAGATTTGATGGACAGACCGAGCCTCCGCTATGAAGAAATGAGCATGCGAAATACATCAAAATGTGCCTGTGTATTACAGGAGGATTTTTTTTAACTTGTGTTTTAAGTTTAAATAAAAGATTTTTCACAAATTTTTCGACAATATGGCATGAGAGGTTACTCAAAGATGAGAAGTATTTATCAATTATCATAAATAGTACCTCATCATGAGTAATAAAATAGCATATAGAACTTTAAACATGTTTAACTAAAAAAGAAAAATATTTAGCGAAAAAAAAATTTGAATTGAATTTCATTTGATCTTTTATCATCTTTGATTAAAGAAATACCTTTTTTTTAGTTCAAATTAAATCTAGAAAATTAGCATCATTTATCTAAATCTTAATATTTTTCAAATTAAGGTATTGTTTAAATCAAAGATTACAACACAAAAAATTAAATTTACTCCAGAAATATTTCTACAAATATCTTTTTTTTAAAAGAAATGTTTAAAGTTTTAGCATAAATCTTATAAACCACTTTATAAACTTTAGTAGATTTCTTGTGCCACTACGTCAAAAAAAAATTTTCATTAAACATACAAACCAAATTTTAAAAAAGTTGTACTATTTATGGTGGAAGCTCGTTTACTGCATATAACAGAGGCGTGGTCTGCTCATAGCGTCAGGGGGTTGGTTCCCTTCCTTGCTACAGAGGGGCAAAGTGATTAAATACTAAAGTGGGCCAAACTCATAGTTGGATGACGATGTTACCCTCTGTTCCAACCCTTACGCTGAGTATCCTCCCTTTTCTTTATACTCCCTCACCATTGTTTTTATCTGCAATTCTCATTCGTTTATAGTGGGCCAACCAATTAAAACAACCTACTCTGGTTAGGCGGGTCCAAACTACATAGTAAATTGTGATTTTTTATTTGTATTATCTCGTGCTTTGTAGTTGAATAAAAATATGAATATGAATTAGAAGTGCCAGGCAAAATCAATGAATTAATTAAGTGACTAAATAGTATTTACATATAAACTACATAGAAACGTACAAAAAATACTGATTTTAAATCGTGAAAATTTCAAAATTCTATCTGAAGACGACATTTACATGGGTCTTTAGTCTATTTTTTCTAGTCTTTACTTTCCAAACGAAATCTTTTCATGAAATTATTTCCAAACCAAATAAAACCTTATGGCCCAACATGTCGTCGTTTCCTTAGTCTGTTCCACTTTAGTATTTATTCACTTTGACAGAGGGGAGGGGTGGTATTTGGGTTTCGCGCCGAGGGGGGACAGATCCAGAGATTTCTCAGTTCAATAAATTGAAAATAGGAATAGTGTCAAGTCCATCATGCGGCAAATTTATCACAGCTGGGAACCTCCCTGAAGATGGTCGATATTGATCCTACTGTCTCCATAACGTCATGAAAAACAAGCTCAGATACAAGTCATATGACCTGAAAAAGGGTCAGTTCACCTCGACAAAGACGACCTCTCCAGTCTCAGGCATCCTCTGATTCCTGGAACTATCATATTTCTTCAGATGGTTTGGTGTCCTATAAGCTCACCAGGACTGCAATTCTTTGGATTATTTTATCTCTGGCATCACTGACAGGGATGTCAATAGAAACCCACATAACACCAAGGTGTCGCTTAATAAATCTGTTTATTCATACCCAATAAAGCTGATTTCCTCCAAGTTTTATCAGTACATCTAAATTATTTAAGATTTCATTGCGAAAAAAAGGTTGAATTACCTATTGGGTTGCAATACCTCACGTGGGTATGTACTATGTGGTATGTGGGTGCAGTCACTACTCTCTCAAATGAGTGTTCCAAAAATAAAAAGATATTGCAAAAACAGTATTCCAAATTTTATTTTTTTCCAAAAATAAAAAAGTACTGCAAAATTTAGTTATTCCAACAATAAGAAAATATTGTAAAAGTTTAAGTCTTGCAAAAAATAATAAGTGTTGCAAATAGTTACAGTATTGCAATAAAAGATTTTAAATTTAAATTCTTTCTGGCAATTTTTAAAATATACAAATCATATTTAATGCCTTCTTTTTTAATTAACGCATACACAATACATACATAATTCACACAACACAATACACAACTCAAAAGATAGGAGATGGATGCAGCTGCAGGTGCAAAATATACAAAGCAACTGATTGATGTTGTTAATTGATGAAGTCAAAATCCCCCCCCTCCCCCACCTTGATCGGTAACGCAATACGCCCAAAAAAATGGAAAGCAATAAAATTAAAATAATCATAAACCTTCCCTGGGGTCCCTAGATGTCCCACAAAAAATTTGGGCCCGACGGGTTCAGCCGTTTTGACGTTTATTGGATACAAACAGACAGACAAACAAACAAACACCAAAATAGACAAGCCAAATTTATATATAGATAATTATAACTCTTAATCCTTGTACATTTTACCATTTACTTCAGTCTTTACTATTTTTAGATTATAGATATAACTCTTACAACTTGTACATTTTACCATTTAATTCAGTCTTTACTCTTTTATAGATTATAGATATAACTCTTACTCCTTGTACATTTTACCATTTAATTCAGTCTTTACTCTTTTATATATGGATAGATATAACTCTTAATCCTTGTAATTTTACCATTTACTTCACTCTTTACTCTTTTATAGAATATAAATATAACTCTTAATCCTTGTAATTTTACCATTTACATCAAGTCTTTACTCTTTTATAGATTATAGATATAACTCTTACTCCTTGTAATTTTACCATTTACATCAGTCTTTACTCTTTTATAGATTATAGATATAACTCTTACTCCTTGTAATTTTACCATTTCTTTTATAGATTATAGATATAACTCTTACTCCTTGTAATTTTACCATTTACATCAGTCTTTACTCTTTTATAGAATATAGATATAACTCTTACTCCTTGTACATTTTCCTTGTTCTCCTACAGGGTGTCCCACGAAACATGGTAGTTGGTAAATAGTTTTGAATGTCGTCTTCCATTCACTGAATTATATATTACAGGCTGTTTGCAGTTAATTTCGTTAAAAAAATATTTTGCTCAAATATAT